AAACAGGCGAATATAATGCTCCATCGTTAGTGGCAGTCATGTGGAGATTCGGCATCTAAACATTTTGTTTCATATTACGAATTTCCCTGAAAACAGATATACAGCATGATCAGAAATGTTGGAGAACATACATACACTAAATCGATGCGGTGTCATTCCGTAAAGCATTTTTCGAATTTTGATACAAATATTTATAACAGACTAATTACAATATAATTGATTCTAAATTGCAGATCAGAAGTTAAGATTCAAAAACTAAACGAATCGGAAAGCCATAACAATGAAATAACAAACGAAATTGATCCGTATATTATAGATAGTAACTTCATTCTGAAAAAAAGATAAACTGTTACAAGTTTCGAATATTCCAGTTTCCGACTAAAAGCTCCCACTGGCGGTAAAGTTGTCGTTGAGCCTTTTCTGCCGTGCTATACTTTCTTCAGTTTAACGGAGAGGCTGTGGAGAAGGCGCAGAAGTTTAAGCATCTCGTAATCGTATTTACCAGTGATGGAAAATTTGAGGAAGAGATCGATCGGCAAAATGGAGTAGCCAGTGGCGTTCTGCGTGAACCAGCCCGATCCACTGTGACTAAAGCAGAGCTCAGTCTGAAAACTAAGCTCTCGTTGTTCCACTCGATCTTTCTCCGCATGTTTACCAACGGTCACGAATAGTGGACGATGACTAGACAGCTTCGAACCCGGGTATAAGCGGCTTAAGTTTGCTTTCTTAGACGAGTCGATGGTCTTAACGTCTCGAAATGGTCCGCAATACTGACATTCGGAACAGCCTTGGTGTACAGTACAGCCTTTGCTTCTCTAGATTGAGAAGTCATAAGTGCGATGGTTTGGGCATGTGTTGCGAATGCCTTCAATACGGAAGGATAAGGAATTTTTTCTTGCGAAACCGACCGGCAGAAGGCCCATGGGACGACCAAGACTAACCTGGTGAAAATATATGGAAAGAGTCTGTTCCAAACTCCAGTCGTCTTCTGTCGAAGCTCAGACTCTGGCACAGACAGGATCGGGAACGTTGGAATCTCTGACGCGTCTGCCTACGCGACCGGAAAGAAGTGGCCATGGAAGATGGAGAAATAGTTCCGAAAAAGTAATTGCAAAAGCAACAAACTGAAATCCATTGTCAAGAAAAGTAATACGACTTTTAATTGTTTCCGAAGTCAAAGATACTAACCACATAACATGCAACAATACTCAAGAAACTTATGACTATATCTGCAATAGATTCGGGAAAGATGAAAGTAAAAATCTTGTAATTTAGGATTATCGTAATCCTGACGACATTGAAAAATGGGCTGCACAAAGCATCGCTTCATTTTTGCCTGCCACTCGTCAATGCTAATTCTTTGCAACCAAAGCGTTACAATGTGCCTCACTTCACTGAATCCGCTGAGTTGAGTGAAAGCTGGAAAGAAAGTGGATATATTTCATGAGGGTTGGCACCCTAAACAGACTGTCGAACAACCACCGTCGAAAATCACTAAAGAATAAAAAAGATTGGAGGAGCATTTATCACGCATCAACAAAAAGGGCAAGTCGGATAAAGGATCATCACTAAAAACATCTCTACTAGTTAGTGCACTCTAAACATCATATCCTTGGCCATAGAAACCTAGGGACCGTTTATGCTATACGTATTGTTATAATACATTCATTACTGAATAAGACTGAATCCATTGTTACGCGTTTCACTGTGTTATGAAAATCACTATTTCCATAAACCTACGGAAGCATTTAAGCAGGCTGCAGTACCAGAGCAATTGAGCAACGACAGTGATATTTAATCTTATTAATACAAAAACGTGGAAAGACGAAACTTTCTGCTAGAAAGCAGGTGAAAACTGCTTCTCTTCTTTGTTTAATATATATCGTTTTAAAAGAAGAAAAATCACAAACCACCTGAATGACAATTTTCTTCATACTTCTGTGCAAGAAGCCATTTTTGGCGCTTCTCATTTACTGAACATACGATTTGCTCTGATTTTTATCTGCGGTCAGTCAGGAGTGCCTCAATTATGACGGTAACGTACGCAACACTAATTATGCAGGCACGGTTAGTAGTCTCTTGTTCCTTTCCCACAATATGGTAATCATTTATCTATCACGGAAGGAAGAAAGAAATGGTAACCGACAAGGATTCAAATGATTCAAACGCGCGACCTTTCTCCTCTGAGTCTGGCGATTTGTCGATGGACCTACGTTAAGTTGCAAAGAACGTATGCTTCGAACACTTACCTTTAAAGAAGTGACAGACATTTGTTCATCATCACTTGATTCGTCAACACGGCATTCGTATACGGTTTCAATATCATTGCTAGTGATTTCGTCCACGCCTACTCCGAGATGATCCCGGTCAATGTCCATCAGCGAAAAATCTTCATAGAATTCAGTTCCGTCTGGTATTACGGAGACATCAAGAGTTTCGTAATCGTTTTCTAGGCTACAAGAACAGCGAATAGTTTACAATCGACCCAAGCAGCAAATACACAGATAACGGAAAAGCAGAAGCAAATATTTTACCTGTTCGTTTAGACCTCGTGAGGTCATCTGTTAGGACGGTAGATGGTATGACGAAAACACGAATTTATGCCATATTTGGGAACAACAATATCAATGAAAACATTCTTTCAGATTTGTGTTTAGGCATCGCTTTCCCTTACAAGTTTGCAGTGGATATGGTAAAAGCACCCGAACCAGCCAATTATTATCGATATGAAAAATGGCCAGTAAAAAACTCTTATGTTTAAGTACCGATGCATTAGAAAAAACAGGGTTTAAATACGAAGAACGTGAGAAGCACCTGATACTGATTGGAAGACTGTGCTCTCAGGTAAAAGCGATTTCTTCGAAAGACTACAGATGTGAATAGGCTAGGCAAGCGTAAGAAAAAAGCAATTTGAGAAACCTTCTTCCGTCAGTGGCTCCTTCCCCAGCTTGAGAGATCATAACTGCTACGGTTTAGAACGTGATCAGGAAGCCGCAGGAGACTCGAACGACAGATTCACTTGGCTTAAGGCCATGTGAAAGACGGCCAAAGGATAAATCGCAAGTAAATAGTTCGAATGTACTAAGAACTCCACATTGTCGCTCAGTAATTCAGCTAATGGGCTTTCACGCTTGGAAGAAACCGGCATCACTTGAGAAATCTCCCGAAAATGTCCCTGTAATCTTAAAGAAAAAGTGGGATTCGAAAATAAATTAATAAATGCACAGAACAACCTACATGGAATCACAGAGTCCTGGCCCAACTTTCGTTTGCAGCTTTCTTACCTTATACAAATGGTATGGATTATATGACTACAGACACAACTAGAAAGTCGATATCAAAATTAGTAATTTACTACAAAGGTTTCGAATAAATAACACTGGTTTAATATGAGGAAAACAGTGACATAGTGAATGCGAAATAGTCCCGCACAGAAATGACATTTCACAAGAAAGAGACGCAGTTCCAGCCGGCAGCGACAGATGTACGAAATAATTATTGCATGCCCGACCCAGAGTTGTCAAAAGAGCTGCCGCTGCCTTCGGAACTGATATTACCTAAACTGAAGAAAACAGAAATCAAATGAACTTTCGAAATAATATATCTATACCATTCTTCCCATGTGCATCTCAGGAATTTCAAACGTATTTTTTAATAGCAGTCTTAATGCGCCTTACCTTCTGCAGGAATATACCTTACAGTTTGAGATAGAAGCATGGTCATTGCCTAATCAAAGAACTGAAAACTGTCGTCTAGCAAGTAAACAGCTTTTGTATCGATTAGACATATATCTCTGGAAATCAGAAATAATGAGCAGAGGGAAACAGAACAAACTGGAATGACCAAGTTGAACACCATAACTTAGCCACTTAGTGACCGATGGTTCTGAAAAGTGGCATGACTTTAACAGCAGTTACGTCCATTATGATACAAAAAATTAATCCACGAATCCTTGCATGTGTTCGCTAAGAAAAGGGCGTTGAAGTGGGTACAAGATATCACATAGCATACTTTTCCTTGCACCTGCAATTTACTATTTTCTGTTCAAAAGAAACGAGGCAAAATTCCTTGAACAGCCTCTCGTTTTACTACGTTTACTCAACCATTGTGGCAGTCCATTTGCTGCCAGTCAAGGCGCATGTCCAATAAGATGGTATAAAGTGGTTCATTTTCAGAGAGAATGACATACCAACGCCTCGAGCATGCAAGACGGATTCTGTTTCCACTCGACATGCTTCTGATGGCTGCGCAAAATAATTTGTCACTATTAACAGAACTATTTTTGAAGAGATAATATCAGTGTAGCTAGTAAACTGGCATCATCGTGGAGAGAGAGCAAAAAACAATAAGTAACCCTCATAGAAAAGACATACTTAACAGAGACTTCTTCACCCGGCAGTAATTCCCTCATCTCGTTCCAAACGGGAACCTCTGTTTCTGATAAAAATCGCAGCGCATCATGGAAATCGCGGCAATTGTGGCACTCTTTAATCGCGCGAATTGTCGAGCATTCGATTGCTCGATGCCGCACGGCCGACATGTAGCGCTAAACGACTCGATGTGAGGAAACAATTGACAAAAACAGAACATATTGGACGATCCTACAATCGCTGTTTTCATAATCATTTTAACACCAACGCAGTGCGTTCTGCGAAGTGTAAGGGATGTTTGATAGGGCGTCCTCTGGAAACAGTGAAGATCACTACGACTGACAAGCACGTAGAGCCAACTAGCGTGCTGCAGTGAAATCTCTCTACCCAACGCTCTTCAAACAGCGTAAAGGAGGAACAACTGTCAGGAACACTCACGTAGAACTTTACCAGATACGACAACGCCAGCCTGTAATTTTTATGCAACACGTAAAGACCGACGTTGATCACGTCTTGAACGTTCATGAACAACAGTAGCAGGAGATCGCACAGAAATGGGCTCGCTTTCGGTTCTGCGTTGAGGATGTTCAGTAACGAAACGAACACCTGCAAGAGGCAACGAATGAAAACGTAGTGTGGAAAGGCATGGAAGACCAAACGCACCGGCGGAATGTCGTCAGTCGGCTGTAAAGAATGCACTACCTCAACGAACTGCGTCCATTTCGATTTGTGCATGAAGAGCGCTTCCTCGAGCATTTTAGTGTAACGTTCTGTGATTGCTTCAGACACCTTAAAAAACTAGTCAGTGGCAATAATAAATGACGCTAACGCAACAAGTTGAGTCAATGACTGTGTACCATCAGTTCCAGTTGATGCGAATAGCTCAGCATAGCCTTCATTGCGTCTGAGTCACGCTCCATTCTTGAACGCTTTTTGCGCAACTGTAACGACATTTTCTCGTCAGACCTAGAATTATGAGCCATCGTCACCAAGGAAGTCAGAGTGAATATTATAAAAGTCCGTGGCGAACCTGCCAAGAGAATCACACTGAGGATCCAAATCTGAAGTTGCTTTCGTTGGGTGAACGGCAACAATGCAACCGGTAACGGACGTGCGCGCAACGACACCCACCGTTGGCATAGCTAAGTTCTGGCCTGTTTTAACGACGACCAATGTCAAAGGTTGCAGGAGATCAGAATGTGTTTCAAAAACCCGTTTTTCGCTTCTATGTACACATGAGTCGATCAATGATGACGTCATCGGAACGTCACAGTGGTCAGAGACAGTCACGGTGGTATGCGAAACCGTCGTCAAGCAGGAAACGGGCTGGCTTGCAGCTGCGGTATCCGCCGCGACTGACAACGGAAGCGCTAAAGGTGCCGATAATAGCTGCGTTGGCAATACAGGTAATGGCTGCGGCGCTGGTTTCGGCGCTGGTACGGTTAGTGACTGCGATGATAGTACCGGCGGTGGCTGCAGTCCTGGCAATGGCTGTGCGCTGAGATCGCTGGCGGTCTGAAGCGCGGAAACATCTGAAACTGCAGGTACCAAACGTGTATCTCGTGGTGCCCCAATCTCCATATTCACAACCGGCTGCACGACCACATTCACCATCGGCATCAACAAAATCGGTGCCATTGGCAAGACAGTCACAGGCAAAGATTGAACAGTCAATGTATTCACAGGAATATCGCATACAGGCTGTAAGACGGGAGAGGTATCGGAGCGTAGCTGAGGCAGTGCTACTGTCACTGGATAAACGGTAGAACCGTCGACAACCTCTGAATGTACATTTACCTGCTGGTCATGTCGCGGCTGTCTGATGAACGCCGCTTGAGCTGAATCTAGTTTCGCGCGTTTGATCATATGGCCACTTGTGGAAGACACCTTCTCTGCAATGGGTTCCACCATCCGCTTACGACGTCGTCTGCGCCGTTGCGGAGGAACTGTGACAGCGTTCGCATCGACGCCCGACTGTGGCGTTACAGTCACGGAAGAAGCGACTGGCTTCGAAATTTGCGCTGGTTTACCAACCAAATGTACTAGCACTTTCGGCGCTGTTCCTTGGCTAAGGCTGTTATTGAAACAAGAGAGCTGTTCAGCAGTGAGTCTAGAAAACGATGTGCTAGGATCAACAAGTGTGGGCGATGACGAGATATTATTGGGAGGTACCGACAGTTTTAAAATTCCATAACTGTATTTAAACGGAATCTTTAATCCACTATTGAATTCAAATACACCGGACAATTGGCTGTTGTTCGATGCAGACAACTTGGATGACGCCAATAGTCGATTATTAACAAATTTCTAAAACATTGCATATAGAATTAAGAGCACGACAAGATCAGCGAGTAAACATATAACTGCTGATCGCGGACACGCACTCATGACCTGCCATAATAAGAGTAATATAATTCCTTATAGCTCCCAGTAGTACTGTCAGTCTCAATTTAATCCATTTCATAGTTCACCTTAAGTCACAAATACGTTCAATGGATAAGATCGCAAAATTTACATAGCCGTTGAAATGTCATAGCCGTTGAAATGTTGTTACAGTCCGGCAGAACCAATGTTTATCGTTCAAGGAGATCAGAATCTTTTCAAAAGTCGATTGCGCTCCTTCACAAGATCCATTAGTAAGCATGCCAAAAAAGGCACTATCAAATGCCTATATAAATGCGCAGGTAGATCGCGCAATCAATGTTCCAGAGAGGCATTGAGAAAGAACAGTGTTGAGAATAAAATCTTTAGCTAAGCATTGTCCTGGTCAGACATGCTGATGATGCCATAACATAACATATTCATCCACCAAAAAATGTCAGCTGAACGTTTCTTTAAAAGGACAGAAACTTGACTGATCTTCAGACTTTTCTGACGGAGGCCGCAAAATAAAACAGGTACAATAAAAGATACTGAAGGCATGACACATGCCTTCACGAGGAGATTTAATAAAGATTTCGGTGCAGATATGCGTTGAATCCGCCATGTATATTAAGAGACACGTCGGAAAAGATGGTACATATGGCCGACAAGCGTGTTCTAGCGAAGTGTACTGTTGATCATGACAGCTAAAACCTTTAACTGCTGAACTAAGTGCAAAACTCACAGTACTAGAATCCAGTTCAACCTCAGCGACGTTGAGCAAGTTACTTATTCTAACACCTTTCACAGCGAAAGCACGCTCGATCGATTTCTCTGCATTAACTGAGATCGATATTCTTCGCTTGTGTGATCACTGTCTTGAAACAATTGTGACAGCATTTGGTAGATGAAGTCAGATTTTGATTTCATAGCACTGCCAAGGATGGTGTCATCTGCGCAGAACATTCTGAGGGGTTCAGAGTATATCCGTGTACAACGTGAAAAGATTAGGAAAAAGCATATCTTGCATCGCTGCCCTGTATGGACGGATGACAGAGGAGGAAGGAGGATGAGAGGACGAAATTCTCGTCGATCTGATGAACAGTCGGTCAATCATTTTAGAAATTGTGGATTCATGTCACGGACTTGAAGTAACGTAAGCAATGGTGGCCGTGATAGTATTAAAAGCAGAAGAAAAGTCAAGCCAAGCTGTGTTCACAAACTTCGCATACTCTTTGGTCCAAGCTATGTGCAGTGTAATCCATTAGACATGTCAGCACGTCTACTGTGCTTCCTCGTGTTTATAGGCGAATTAGTGTGGATCAGAACAATTAGCTTCAATGATATGCGGTCGTATCAGCGATTAAACGCATTTCAGTGTAACGGAAGTGACTGCGATAGGCCGAAAATCATTGGGATACTTGGCACGAAATTTTACGGAACGGAGGTGATTCGGGCTACCCTCCAGGAGTCAGATAAAGTCCTGGGTCAAATCGCTGGTACCCTGTAAGGTCCTGAAGCCGAGTGAGGTCGAAGGCGCCTGAAACAAGTCAATGCGGTCGGATGATGAAATAACTGGGCAGACCGTATCCGATAGAGAAATCAGACCTTCAAGATGGCCTGATGCTGAATCTGAGTCACTGAACCGTAAAAAATGGTCACTTCTGCGGTGACTGTATTTTCCTGCTTTCTGTGTTCAATAGTTGCACAAGCACTTCAGCCCATTTCAGAGGTCGTTTGAACAATTTTTATTCTGATGCTTGGCAGAGAATGACGAATTCAGTCGAAGAATTTCGGTTTTAAGTTGCTCGAGCAGTCTTCTAACCGCAAATCTGTCATCTACTTTAAAAAATGCTCCGTCTGCGCTGCTACTTGGTCACCTATGAGGTGACGAACTTGTGTGACGAAAATCTTTCAAACCGTGCAGCAGATATCATAAGTAAAAGTCAAATATCCGCTTGCATGTTCATGTCGTCATAATATAACTGCACCCACTGCGTGCTTTCCATGGTGCTTCTGAGTCATCCAAGACTCTCCCAGTCAACTATTCTTCTACTCTATGTTGCTGTTCTGAGATGTTTCGGACTGAACTTTTGCATAGATAGTTGGAAGGACTCCAACAGAGCAATGGTTAAAAAACCGTAGTGGTGCAAGGCAGTAGGCGCAAAACGCAATCGGAGTGCTCATGAGACAGAAGTCTCGCTGCGCACCACCACGTATGCCGAACGTAACAGTGTTAGTTATGTAACAAGCAAAGAATGCATTGCGATGATTTACGTCGTCCGCCAGCGACGATTATGACGTCCGTGACGATCACGTTGCAGAACATTAGTACCAGACTTTCCAGAAATGATTCACAGTTGGCGTAGCTGCAATCAGAAGTGACATAAATATTACGCATAACAGAATTAAAATTTGGCATTCAAAGTCTTGGGTAGCATCGAACGACAAGGCATTGAATAGAGTGACAAAAGGTCTGAATGACCGTCAAACCATTTCTGGCTCATTCAAGCGGCAACACCGCAACCCAGGTTTTTCATTGTGCTTATTCCGCCGGTGCGAAAGCGCGAGAATCCATCAACTTTCACAACTGAATTGTCTATTTTCTTGTGAAGCCTCGTTTCCTGGAACAGATCTTAGCTGTGAGTAGCTGTAATTTAAGTTCGTCCGCCTTAGTGACAGTGGATCGACTGTTCGCCAACAGAACTGTTGGAAATGAAACATGTGGCAAACTGCAATGACGAATTGCTAGCTGCCAGCCAAAGTGCGCGCCTCCGCCGTCGCAACATCGCCGAACAGCCCAGTGGGTGCAACTTTTGCCATAGAGTATCCAGTTTTTATGTCACTGATCCTTTTTCAGAGCCAAAAGATAATCACGACCGTACGGCATGATGTTAGGAATAGTTGGCGAATTCGATAAGACGGCATACTCAACATAAAATACACTAAACGCTGATAAGGAAACGATTTATCACGGAGCAGCCTGGAGAATGTGCTCTGACAGCTGGGAAAGGATGAAGCAGTGGTGGAGAAGCAAATCAGCAGTACCGGCAATAACCAACCAAACAAACCAACGGATGGACGGATGACATATGACATGCATATCACAGATTCAAACGTGACGGAGTGCGCCGTGGCGATTTCGAATCTGATCCAGCAATAGCTACATGAAGAATGCTTTGCACATCGTGAAACTAGTTCTTTGGAAAATGGTCAGTCGTAGAGTTGTACCAGTCTTATGAGCTTTCAGCAATTTGAATATCATGAATATGCAGTTATCGGCTTCACGTAGATAAGTCGTGAAACAAACGAATCCTACTCAGCTTCACTTTCATTCCCCGCAGTCTTACTGATGCTCTGACCAGCTAAGCCCATTCTATGTCAATAACCGCATAAATGCTTGAACGTCGTTCGCTGTCCATGCAACAACGCTTCGATGAAATATGGCACAGATTGTAGAACAAATTCCTCTTTACAACTGCGCTAATCCTACAAAGCATCTACAGCTCCTTCCAATGCTTGGCTGTTTTCCAACAATGAAGAGCTTATTACTACCCGTACATTAATTGGGCGCTCTATGATTTATACTCAGGGTAACAATGCCACAATCGCACAGCTAAGACTATTATAAACTATACCATATTACGACGGTCCGGCTGAATCAACAAACTGTCAGTTCCAAAGTTCTGCACAATATAACGCCACAACAGGGATGTCATGCAAATTTATGACTTAAGGCACTTAAAAAGCAAGCGGTAGAAATTCTATCATAATCTACGCGTTTCACTGGCATCGAGCAAAATTAACAGCCCAATAGCTCATCTAATAACAACATAGTATTATAGTATCAATTAGGAGAGCTTTTCCACTTCGTCAAAAGTAACCATCTTTAGCAGTTCTGTTTCACTTCCGCTTAATAAGCAGTGGGAATTAAGTCCTTGACTCCGCTGAACGATCATCACTTTTCGGGCTTTCAGTGGTATCGACAGTGAGGTCTGTCATTCAGTGTTCTATGCGCTGGATATGAACCACAGCAAGTGCTGCGATATCATGGTACCTTGCGACCTCCTTAAAGGGCATAAACTTTCCAGCTAAAAACAGAGCTGTCCAAACGCGTTCCTCTACGCTACTAGAAGCCAGAAAATCATGTGACATTAACCGCGACAAAGGAGTGCGTGGAATGGATGATTCTTCGCGTGTACGTTACTAGCAAATTAATAAAAGCATATTCGCACAGACCGAAAGACTGCCTTGCGGTTAAAATTCTTCATATTGCTGCGATCACAAAAAACAGGCTACCTATAATCATCACATGAGGATAAACACCGGTGATATGTGGATACTGCTTTATCACGTGATTAGCCAGTGCATACGAGGTGCAAAGTAATACCTTTTTATGCCGCCCGCATATGTACCAATATACTATATATAGAACTTACCCTCATCCAGGTCGGTCGACAGCTCTGCCTCCAAAAACACGGCGGCTTCGCTTTCAATGGGTCGAACGATTCCGTATCCCGCTGAATCACTGGCTCTTCATCCAATAGTTTACAGTTCTAAAAAGCAAGCAGTCTACTGTGACCGAGAAAAGTGGTGTATCTCAATCGGCATTGTTACCCGAATTACGTTGTTGTCCTTCTTAGCGCACATATTCTGCATGTGATGTTGCAACTGATCCTCTGACCTATGTGGTAGGTAGTTTTGCTGCACGTGCTTGAATCGCTGTGAATATTTTAAACATCGGAACTGCGTGAATCCGAGAGCAAACAGACTAAAGCACTGATGCAAGCTTACATTTGTTGGTGTATTGGTTATGCAAATCATACTTGTTTTCTGAAACAAAAAATCTTGACCTCACGCCTGTGCTTATCCGAGAATGCCAGAATGTAGGCAGGAGTTTGCGATACAAAAAAGCACCCGAAAACAAAAAGCTGGGAATGAGCCACTGTGGTACACCTAGAGATGACGCATCAATATACGAAAGAGTACAAAGCGAATTGAGCACGGAGTTTCCAGTCAGCCTACCAGTAATAATGTCGCTAGTGCCTGGGTCACGGTCGGCCGGACAGTGAAGGATTGCAGACTCCACCACGTTGTAAGCATCAACGAGATTGTGAACGTTGAAATAGGATTTAGAACCGTGCGTCTCTTTTAAATGCATCAAATATTTCTAAAAGCCATTCACTAAATGCTTACCGCACAGTCAACAGTCACAGTTACCAGATTCATGAAAGCCATTTGCGTTATGTAATTCAAGCTTGATTTTATTAAGCTGAGAAGCGCTAGCTGAGCCAGTAACTGAACATACTAGAATAGGAAGTTAATTTTTTGTACTCTGCGTCTCGATGACCTTACCTTCCGCATCTGAAACTGCAGCTGATTTAACTCGATAGCTGTGAAATGTAGCTTATCACCATCATCACCCAAAAGAGTGCACGAACATTCATCATTTGACGCTTTTTTCTTCTCATCCGGCTTAAAAAGCAGCTGCGCGATTATCATCATAAAACAGACTAAACGGGTAAACATGATCATCGCTTAACAAAGTACATGCACAGCATGAAAAATTTTACTATGCTTTCTTCAGAATTTTATTAATAATTCAATTTTATTAATAATTCAGGCATAGGTATGGACAGAAGTCCTCTTGCCTCAAACAATTCGCAAAGTATTCGTTTCTTTTTAAAGGAGAGACACTTTAGTAATTAATTCCGCGTCAGAAGGCCTATTTCAGCGCTCAGGGAAGGTTTATGCACACTTCAGCTTCTACTATGTGGAGGAAATCATTTATTCCTGTCTTCCCCATCATATGACATGAACGCTAAATTTACAGACAAACTGAACAGCTGATTTTGCAACCTGACTGGGATGTGGAGACATGTGGTGGTTGCGAGGAACGGGGCTTCTTAAACAGTTTCCTAGCATCAAGTAAAAAGAGATGGTACCAAGCTGTTTAATCAGATTTGATAAAATTATGTAGAATAGTGTATTCTTGGTTTATACACTCCTGTTTTATTATTCCCTGTCGAGCCCAAAGCTCTGTAAAATTAAAATATATAGAATAACATACAATGTGCAATAAATCCATTCGAAATAAGCATTTTCGAAAAAACTGGTGTCTCAGAAATCAGCATACACTCCATTCATACTAAAACGCCGTCTTGACTAAGACCGTTTCATGAAGAAAATCAATTAATGCAAACAATCTAATTGAAAATGCTTAGAAACATTTCAAGAGTTAAAACCCAAAACAGGATGCAGACACATTGCGACATCGAAACGAAAATAGAAAAATTCAAGTGACGGCACTGCTAAATCAGAGAAATGAGCACTTTGCCCGTAACTTTGTCGTGATGTGAGAATAAGAAAGTAAACAACTTATTAAATACAAGGCAAGACGAGAATTTTATGAATAATAAAAGTTGGAATTGGATAACTTCGTCGCTACCGGTCCCAAGCCCAAGTTAAAAAGGAGGGATGGGGATCATTGCGAGGTTTCCCACAAAACATAACCACTCGCCACTCAAAGTATTGTCATTATCAAACGTTACACGGGCGCGGGCGTCGCCTGGGTTACCAAGGGCCACACACGCCGTTGGGTAACTGAAACAGGCAGCGAAAAGTCAGAGGTCAGAACCTGCTTCTCGCTTTATGGCAGCTCGCAGTGATGGCTGCAAAAGATCCACAAGAAGACGATTAATACACCCCTCAGCAACGGATCCACTACCCGTTTTGTGCGAAATAGACAGACAGCACAATTCCATTACAGCAGTCTGATAAACTTGCACGTAAACTATACTGAGAGTGGGAGCTTACGGTCAGAAGTTAGAACATCTCCTCACTCAGAGCCAAAGCGCTAGAGCTAACCGATGAGATGGCTAAAGTACCGACTCTGCATAGCTGGGCTATTGTCAACGAAGCGCCAGGACTCTGGAATTCTGAACCTCTGCGGGTGCAAGCTATTCTACTCAGGTGTTAATATCACGACGCGTGCTCTGGTAGAACCCAACCTTGCTGATAAAATCACTGAAGCCCCATCATCGAAAGAGCGGCAATCATCAGACTAAAGTTACAATATGCTAAAACCTTGATTTTCTTATAGTTCTATGACCTCATTCAGAGGGAGAATGAGTCCAATTTAGGAGTAAAATGTGCTGTGTAGGAAGCGCCGACTACGCAGTGCATCATTTTAATGGGCGAATTCAGTACGCATTTTGAAGTGGACAATGAAAAATGAAAACGTGACAGG